GGAGGAAAGGACGAGACAAGTGATTTAGTGAGGAGTTTAGCCTCAGGTAAACATGGCGGGAACATGCGGACAGGCAATGGAGTAGTATTAACCCTGAATCTTAACCAAGATATCTTTGGTTATTATTTGGTTTAGCTCATCTTCAAATCACATAGAAACACTTACTTTTAGATAATTTCTACCTCATATACACATACCTCAACCCTTAAAGCCTCTTGGAAACTTGTATCTTTCAGAAAATCCACACAAGTGAGGAACGCCTAAGAAATTAGATCAATAAATCTCTACCTTCCATTTCTTGTCCCACCACGAGCTGTCTGGAGCCGTGAGGTGTGTCACACTGCCAGGGGTTAGAGTAGGTTAAGGTAGGTTAATTTAGTGAAAGTTAAGGGTCTAGATGTTTGGTTTCCGATGTATTTTGTTCTGATCTCACCTTCGTTTTTGATGGAAAGTAGCCTTTTTGATCAAGGATGAATTGCGGTTTTTTTTTTTTTAAATGATGCATTTCCCATCTTGTGAAAAAAATTGAGGGTGTGCTAAAACAAATAATTACCATATCTTTTGTTGTGTAGCTGTTAACATGTACCACTGTCCTTCTTTCTCACCTGCTGTAGTTAAACATGGTTCTAGAAAACCCATATTTAGGCAGTGGATATCTTGTCATGACCTGAAACTTCCTACTAACGCTATTTGGTTAATAATGATGACTGACCTGCTGACGAGTTGTTTATTTTGATGTTTAATTTCTTAGTATATATCTTCATTAGTGAGTTCTGATATAATAATGATTTCTTGTGCAAATGCTTCGTTTGGTATTGTGGCAGTGATGTCTCATCCTAGGATGGGTATAAAACTGCAGTTTTGGACAATACAGGGCCGACAGTTCTAACCAGGCTCAACCTTTAGATTTCCTTATTTGGAGTACAGTATTTCTAACCCCATTTCAACCAGTCAGAAATGAATTATAGTATCGGAAATGAATTTTAAATTTTTTTCATGATTTTACAACAGTCTATGGCCACGAGTTACTTAGGCATGTGTTCGTGAGTCTGTTTTGGCTGTGGGGCATGCTCTCTGAGGTGGACTGTCTCGTGATGTGGGGTGACTTGATCCAGCCTCACAAATTTTCACAAACACGAAGTGACAGTGCATTAAATAATACAGCTCCTCCCCGACTTACACCTGGGTTAGGGACCCAAATCCAGGTCATAAGTCGAAATGGTTGTAAGTCAAAAATGCTTAAATAATACGTACGGTATATAGAAAATCTAAAATGGGTGTCTCTTTTTCTTCTCAGCTCCACTAAACTCTCACTTTTAAGCTTGCCAGCCATTTTAAAGTGAATTACATAAAATTTTGTCTGTGTACTGATGTTGGGACTCGAAAATATACAATTTGACAAAATTTTGGTACGATTGAAGCAGGTCGTAAGTCGGGGAGGAGGTGTATCTAAAGTAGATATTCATGTTAGTGTCACCTTTAGATTACTTGGAGTTAATATTTAGTAGTTGCCACCCTTTATGAATATTGAGTCCTATATGGGGAGATAGAGAAAATAAATAATTAAGTGTATGTTTTTGTTGGAAATTTATATTTTTTTTAGTTATTTTAACTTATTTTATAATATTTGGCCAATCAGTGTCACTGTTGATGTGAAGTCATAGTCGTGCGTGCCAATCAGCGTGTGTGCCAATGTGACGTAATATTCGTGCACTAATCAACACAAGTCTCGATTCCCGGGCAGTTGGAAGATGGCGTCTGTGTGAGGTGGATGCACATTGACTGGCTGCCGCATTATTCAGCTCATTTTGGCCAATGAAGCAGCAGTCATTGACATTTTTAGGGCTGACGGTGTTCTTGTTTCATCTGTTAAATGTTCAAGATGTTATTCAGAGTGTGAGTACCGTGTAGATCACCCTGCATGGTACTGTGGCAAGAGACGGACACTTCCTCACTCTACCCTCCTGTGTCTCTTACTTATGATAACCTTCTTACACACGAGGGGTTAGGTTAGGTTTGTGAGGTTTTTCCAAAGTTTGACCTCCCACTTTTATTTATTTATTTTTTTCAATCTCTTAACTTTTGCTCATTTCCGGTGGCAATGAAGGTGATATTTGTATTTAACACAATGATTTACACAATGATTTACACAATAAAAACATAAAAAGTCAATTAGATGTTGGCAGCTGTTAAATATTTACCTTACATGGATTCACTCGGAATTTGTTACCTTGGTAATTCATAACTTCCTAAAATTAAAAAATCCGAGCCAATCTTTGCCTAAGTTGGCTCAGATTCCCCCAAGGTTGTTGGAGGGAAGGGAAGGTCAAATTTGATTGAATCACACCAAAAGACACTGGAAAAACAAATTGGCCACATTGACTCCGATGCTCAATGTATGTTTATGAGCCGTTTGGTATAGACGGCTGTTCACACCTCCACAAAAAAATCAAATCACACCATATCATAGTACAGGTAAGTTCTTTCTGTTGAATATACCGGGGGGGTCCCCCCCCCCACCCCTCCCCTACAGCTAAGAGTTGGGTAAGGTTAAGTTAAGTAGGTTGGTGAGGTGAGGTCTTCTAACAATGCTTCTGCCTGTTTTTCATATCAACTAAGGTTAGGTTTAATTTAGAAGTAACTACTTTTTAACACATTTGCACAAATTACAACAGTGTCCACAATAAAACACACTGAAGTTGCGGCATATTTATGATCATATTCTATGAAAAATCGGCCGCGGGTCAGTTGTCAATAATTACCCGCTATTTTACCACGAGTGCGCCCTGATTGGCTAATCGTCCATTATCGGCGATTAACGCGAGAACTATATTTGACCGTGACTGGCGGCAGTTGGCATTTATTTAGCGTTGAGCCGATCGTTGTGTAGCTATACACATGCCTGACCATATTTCTGTTGTGCATGGAAACTCCTAACAAAAATAGAGGGAAATATTTGTTTTTGGTTGAACAGAGAATTTCATATTTCTCTTTATATAGGGAGGAAAAACTATACTATATTCTATTGTGTTTCCTCCGCAAATTTATATTTTTTTAATATTGGAACGGCTAAGACTTCCCCAATTACCAACAATATTGGTTGTTTAAAGTGGGCAGTAGAGGGAAAGTGTGAGGTCAAATACTACAAAGAACACCAGACAAGCCTTTGAAAACCTGACCTGACTTATGACTGAGAGCACCACCACCAGGAGTTGTTCAGTTTTGTTCATTGTTTCCACAGATGTTCTTATCATTGTAAGAGGCAACTTTTACTAGAACCTAATAGAACCTGACTTAACCAACCAGAGAAACCTACCTTAACCTAACTTCCTAACTGGGGTAGCGGACCCCCCCGTCGTATTAAACAGAGAGTACTTAGTAAATCAGAGCACACTCGCAGTAAAATAGCATTAGTGGGAACTAAGCCGGTCACAGCAGAATATCCACTACGTATTTTTTATAAGTTCAAGCTTAAAGTGATCAAGTTTGCAGAGTAGACAAACAAAGTTGCAGGAGCCAGAGATTTGGTGAATTTTCATTTGTTGCCACTATATGAAATCGAAGTTGAAACTGTTTTTCTGACTGTTTTTGATGTGTTATGAATGAATTTCACCTCCATTTCTGGTGCAAATCAATAGCTTTCCCCCACTCACCCTTCCATCCCAGACATGGAGATCTTGGGGTCAATGGGGTCCCATACAGCTCATAGTCCAGGTGTCAAGGACTGAAGAACGTGGCCAACCGGTGCTGTCTTGTTAAGTCGGGACAATAAATTATGGTAAGGGAATAATGCAGTTACTCTCCTTGTGTCAGTCCAGGGAAGGCGAACACCGATGCCAGTCTATGCAGCAAACAATGGCAACAAATTTCAATGATAGATTCCCTGAGTTGTTTACTGAATCTTTGGATTTTGTTCAGTTTCTGTTCAAGACAAATGCAAAACGGTGTGGCTCTTTTGCCCTCGAAATAACCAAATTACAGGCTGACAACGAGGCAAGGATCAATTTTGCTATCTATGATTTTTTTTATTCTTATTTATTTATTTTTATTTTTTTTATTGGGCACTCCCCTACATCCTTGTGTAAGGTGAAGCGCAGAAGCGTTTACAATGCCCAACAGGGAAGCACGCTAAGTTCATGCTTGCCTTATGTCTTATGAGTTAAGGGTGTAGAAGCCTGAAGAGTCAATGGTTTATGTCTAAGCAAGTTTTTGGAAGTTCCAACAACTTGTCCCTGAATACGAATTTGCAACTTACGACTTACAGCAGGTACCTACTTTGCTGCTAGGTGAACAGGGACCAAGGGGGGCTAGGAAGTGTGTCCGAACAACTTCCACCGGCCCGGGAATCGAACCCGTGACATCTCGCTTGCGAGGCAAGAGCGGTACCGCTCTACCCACCTTTGCCCTGCCATCTATGATGACATATCAATGTTTTGGGTTATTTATCAAGTTGACATTCAGCTGTTAAAAATCATACAATCAAGATTGTGATACAATTTGAAAGCTTCTATGTCTGTGAGGCAGCTTTCGTGTCAGTGGTGTTTATAAAAAATTATTACCGTAACCGTATATCAAACTTAAACTTAGAATATTGTGTACTGTGTTGTTTAATCACATAATTATACCCCCAGTTAATGATAATACACACACATAAAGTCAGAAACACTCCTAAAAGTCCCCTAAATCACTATACGGCCTCTCCTCGACTTACGACAACCCGGACATATGATGGCCATGGTCGTATAAAATATTTTTCATGTTACGTATTTTCGAGTCCTGACGTTAGTGATCGCACTATGTGCCGACAAAATTTTTGTTTGTAATTCCCTTTAAAATGGCTGGCAAGCTTAAAAGTGAGAGTTCTCTTGGTGCTGAGAAGAAAAAGAGAGACACATTTTAGAATTTCTGTGTATTATTTTCGCCTTTTTGACTTATGACCTGGTCGTAACCCCGCCGTAAGTCGAGGAGAGACTGTATTGTATATACGTATATATACACTAGAACTCATAAATCACTACTGTAATGTAATATCAACATCTGTAACAAGTGCATAACAGCATTAATAGAACACAGACTTTATGTAGACAGACATGTGTTGTTGTTTTGAGATTATTCATCCCCTTCCAGCGTTACCATTGGGAGGGGGGGTCATCAAGCTCAGGTAACGATGCAGGGAGGATGTGGGCAGCTCAAGGTCACTGTGAGAAGTTTAGGCTGTTGGCTGATCTGCTGATGATGTTGATGCTGAGGTTTTCTTAAAGGACATGGTGATGGAAGCTGTCATTGTTGTTTCTTAAGCTGCTGGAACATATTCTTATACTGAGCCATCAGGCTGTAAGATCTTGTGTGAAGTTGTTGCTGCACTCCATAGAGGGGTCATACTCAGACACTTAAGTTTTTCAAGTGCTCAGTCACCTGAAACACTTCACTAAACTTCTGTATATCCCAACATGCTGGCTCTTCTTGTTCTTCATCATCACCACCGGAATCTTCTTCGTCCGCTCTCACTATTTCCTCCAACTCAGTATCAGTCAAAGTTTCCTTGTGCCCTTCAACTAACTCCTTTATTTCCTGCTCAACCATGTCTTCAAACCCATCACCGCCTACAGCTCTGGCCACCTTCACAATGTGCTTAACTTCAGTGTCGATCGTAGGGAATCCTTTGAAGTCATGCACACAGTCGCTCTACAGTGCCCGCCAACACGAATTAACAGACTGGTTTCAGTGCACCCACGGCCTCCTTCACAAAAGTGATGCAATTGGCAATGTTGAAATCCTTCCAGCATACCATAACACTTGTTGGTGCCGTCCTCCATGGCATTGCGAATGCAGACGAAGGTGAGGCGTGTGTACGCTGCCTTAAAGCACTGAATCACGCCCTGATCGAGAGACTGGAGGTAGTGTTGGGTGGCAGGAACACTACCTCGACGTCATTGTATGCGAATTTTATGGCATCCGGGCGGCCTGGTGCATTGTCAGCAATCAGCAACACCTTGAAAGGCAGGCTCAGCTTCTCTAGATAGCTATTTACCTCGGGGATAAAACATTTGTGGAATCACTCAAGGAAAAGCGTTGCTGTCACCCAGGCAGACCTATAAATCAATCCTGGCTTGATCATATGCCCTGCTGCATTGCCACATAGTAGAAGGTTGACGTGGTCCTTTGCAGCCTTGAACCCTGGGGCCTGCTTCTTTGACTTGGAAATGTAGGTTCTGGTTGGCATTTTCTTCCAAAACAAATCTGTTTTGTCAGCGTTAAAGACCTGCTCTGGAAGATATCCATTTTCCTCCATCAATTTCTTGAGTTCTTCTGGGAACACCCTTGCAGCTGCCTCGTCCGCCGATTCGACAGTGATTCTAATATTTTTCATGTTGAAATGCTTTCTGACACTGTTGAGCCAACCTGCACTGACTTTAAAATTCTTCTCGGAGCTGGTGGATGCTTCGCCCTGAGGAACCTCAGATTTAAACTGTTCATAAAGACTCGGTGCCTTCTGCCTGAGCATGTTGCCGTCGATGGGGACACGTTTCTGGTTCATACCCTCCACCCAGATGTTTAATGCCTTCTCCACCTTCACTAGAGTTACATCTCTAACCTGGCTCGTCACCTTAACAGTTAATGAGGCCCTTGTAGACACGGCTTCACGAATTTCCTACTCCCAAATCTTAATGGAACTCTCGCTTTATTCGTTCCGTCCGTGCCACAGCAGCGACCGACATCCCACCTTTCATTAAGTCTAAAACAGCCACCTTTTCTTCTAAGGTCATCACAGAGTGTTGTTTCTTCACTGGAGGACGGGCAGAGGTTGGCTTGTGTTTGGGCATTATGAACGAGTATGAGAGGGGTTTAAGTGCACTAAATTGACACACACAAGAGGCAGCTGAGATAGAGAGAGGTGGGATTGAGGGGTGGAGCATTTGGAGGGCTTGTGACCCACTTTGAAAATTTTGAGCTTGAAATTGGAAATTGTTACCTAACCCCTGGGGCAATCCGCGTATACTGTAGTTGAAACAGCATAAGAAAAATATGCATAAGTTGCAAGTTTAATGTATTAATGATATTTCTTAATTTAAGTTTTATTTGGTTAGTACAGTATATGTCATCTTTTATAATTTATTTAATGCCACAGTCTTAAATATTGTCAAAAGTCAACAAGAATCAGATCATTAGTTGGTTTGTTATACTTCACACATTTGGAAAAAGGTGATGAAGACTGCCAGAGAACAATGAGCCAATTCAGATAAAAATAGAAATTATTGATAAACTTGAATAAATAGTTCCAGTGAAAGTCATTCAGAAACCATATAGCATCAGTCATACTACAAGCAGTGTTAAACTCTCAAAACAGAACTTTTCAAAGATCACATTTAAAACCATAGATGAGGCTGTGTATGGCTGTGTCGGAACAGGACACACATTACATATCCAGAGGCTTACAGCATAAACAAGAGGAATAAATTAGTGAATACAGTATTAGTGATTTGCATACATGGCTGATGTTGATTTAGTGTCACGTGGCGCGACGAAACACTGCTGCTATGGTGTGTGCAATAGTGACTCACGGTATGCACACAGAAAACACATGAAAAACGTGAAGTGGATACCATTTCCCGGCCCAGAGGAAGAAGCCGATAAGTGTAAAAGATGGATTCGTGCTTGTGGCCGTGAAAACTTTACAGTTGAAAAAGTAAACAAGTTGACAAACATTTGTAGCAAACATTTTGTTGGTGGTAATGGACCAACTGAAGCTCACCCTGACCCTATACCAGCACAATACACCCCTGACCAGGTTAGTACAGTATAGGTACATAATAATAATAATAATAATAATAATAATAATAATAATAATAATAATAATAATAATAATAAAATAATTAACAGTTTATTGAAAGAGCTTGGCAGCCAGAAGGCTGAAAATATAGTTACATAATTGGGGAATGGGTTTCGATTTACAAATAATATACAAATAACATACGTGATACAAATAAGATATATGATAACTTGATGGGGAAAAGCTCAAACTACAGTTCATTTCAACATAGTGACAGTGCAAGAAGTAGCATTTACTGGGAGTGAATACACTGGTTTATTACAAGTTATTGATAATTTTTACAATGGTTGGGACTGGGCTGTTCTTATAGCGATCAGTTCGTGCACGTATGGGCTGGATGCGGTTGTGGTGTCGAACAGCAATTCTCGGGCTAGGGATCTCAGGTGGTAGTAGGAGCCGGTGTCGAGGATGGTGCAGAAGCTTCTTAGTAAATTTGCAGGTGAGGTCGTGGTGATGGTCAGTGAGAGTCGAAAGGGTCAGTGTGTTGAGTGCTTCTTGATATGTGGAGTAGGAAGGGGAGAGAATAATCTTGCATGCCCTCTTTTGCACTTTTTCTAGGTGTTTACGTTGTGTGGCATTTAGGGAGGAAGACCAGGTAGGGGAGGCATCGGTGAGCTTGGGAAGTATGAATGTTGAGTAAACACTGAGGAGCTCGGGTGCAGGGACTTGAGTCGGCGGAGGAGGTGGAGACGGAAACTGGAGGATTTGACAACTTCACTAACGTGTGGTTTCCAATTTAGTTTGTTGTCTTTGGTGACGCCGAGGAGCTTAGTGGAATCTACAACCTGGAGTGTGTTCGGACCTAAAGTAATGAAAGGGGGTGGGACAATGTTGGAGGAGAGGTTGATGTGCATAACCATGGTCTTGGTATGGTTAATGGTGACGTGGTTGTTGGTGGCCTAGTTTTGGAGACTGTTCAATAAATCCTGAAGGGCGGTATAGTCGGGAGCAGAATTGTTGACGCTGATCCCAATGGTGGAGTCGTCGACATATTTCCAGCGAGCAGGGGTTTGTGTATGCAGGTGCAAGGGTTGATTATATAGTTATGTAATAGTGGCATCAATTATCAATTTACTGATGCACAGAAACCCTTAAGATGTGAGTAATAGTGTAGTTGGTGATTGCATACTTGACATTTGTTTTTTACGCTATACGTATACTGTACAAGAATGTATGGATGGCATGTTAAGAATTGCATTGGTACAGGTATAGCCTATACAGTACTGTACTGGGTCCTCCACGTTTTTTAATAAAAGTGACATATTCCTGCATATTTCACTTTTTTTATTGACTTATACCATTGATTTTGAGAGTAAGACCCAGTAGTGGGAAGGGCTATGAAGAACATTAATGTGTGTTAGGTTTGTCAGTTTCATAAATATCAATGTTGTACCTGAGTAAAAATCATGATTTAAATCAAAATGATTTTTTTACTAATAACTGTTTTCTCTTTTTATTCCACATGATTGAAAAGTATATGCAATGCAGCAGGCCAATAACATTATTTGGATTTACATAATTATTTACTGTACTATAGTCTGTTCTCTCCAGTTTTGCAAAACTTTAATCATATCATATAAGGTCTCATTATTAATGTATATATTTACATGAAATATATTGTTAACTAAGATAATAAATACTATTGAAATTCAGAAGAACTGTAGTATTCTCTTCTCCCGTCATTATATATCAGTCAATAAGGAGCAAGGGGCTGTAAATGTTTGCAAAGCTAGAGTGAACAGGCTGTAGGCACTAGGCTATACATATTCAGATATTCTATTTTTATCACTTAGTATGTTCTTTTTAAACAACATAAATATTATTTCTGATCATAATTTCAATAATTATATTAATTTTAGAGAGTGGTGAAAGTATTCTTAATACAGTACTGGTAGTTGGATCATGCATGTATGTTTTGGTCTTTCCTTTACTGATCCTGTCAGTACAGGCAGTTGCCTAATGGCAAATCACTAATATATTTTCTTATACCCAGTACGTATATTAATCACTCATTGGTTTGTCAATAACTAATATTGACTGGTATAATTAAAGAGTAATAGGTTATGATTGTGATTAAATTAATCTAAACGAAACATTGCAACAAAAATAGATACAATAGTTGGTATCTCATACTCTAGCAGAAGCTCATATCTAAGCTCCCACTGAGTCAGCTGCACTCCCACTCCCAGACTTCATACAAGCTGTCACCTCTGATTTATGCACTGTTATGTATTCCTTTGTATTTTAAAATTATATGGACGAATAGCAGCAAGTGGGAGGAAAAAGGACCCACTATGGTATTATTTTGACAGAATTCCTAAGGGCAAAGGTTTCAGAGCCAAATGTAAGAAGTGCAATCAAGAAATTCAGGGTATTGTAAGCAGAATGAAGAAGCACATGGAGATCTGCCAAAAGCAGACCAGCACACTATCTGAAGGAGGTGAGTTTTTAAAAATACAGCACTGTACTGTTGTTGATATTTTTTCACTGGTAAAACCTTGTGATTGCAGAGTAGGCTGCAGTATCTTAATATTATTGTCTCTTTCTCTTTTTCAAGGTAGTATTCATCAGCAAAACCTTATGGTTACAGATTACAGTATGTCAGCACAATATCTTAATATTACTGTAGTGTATCTTTTTCTTTTTCAAGGTAGTATTCTTTCACGAAACTTTATGGTTACAGTTTTCATCAACAAAACCTTATGGTATTGCATACATATTACATTCTTATCCAATTTAGATAATGAGTTACTTAATGCACAAAGGCAGAACATACCATACAAAAATTCGGGATCAGACAACAATGACCCTAAGTGGATAAATAGTTATTTAAAGAACATCATTGGCCAAAGGAAGCCTATAGGTAGAAGGATAAATCGTGGCGAAATTTACCTCTGGGATTATTATAGGGTATTGGCCAGTCGGGTTAAAACCGAGATAAGGAAAGCCAAGAGGAATAATGAGGTAAGGATAGCAAGGGAGGCAAAGACAAACCCCAAAGGATTCTACCAAATGTATCAAACTAAAACACGAGAAAAGATTGGACCAATACGGTCAGATACCGGCGAGCTCACTGATAACGACAGAGAAATGAGCAGTAATTTGAATAAATATTTTTCGACAGTTTTCACCACCGAAAATTTAAACATGATACCCGAGGCACCGACTCTATTCAGAGATAGTGAAGAAAACAAATTAAGCGAGATAGTAGTGACTAGTAGCGATGTTAGTAAGCAAATAGACAAACTAAAGCCTAATAAGTCACCTGGTCCCGATGAGATATTTGCCAGAGTATTAAAGGAATGTAAGGAAGAGCTTAGTATGCCCTTAGCAAAGTTGTTTAACATGTCCTTAAAAACAGGTGTAGTACCAGAATCCTGGAGGATAGCGAATGTAATACCGATTTTCAAGAAGGGGGATAGATCACTATCCTCTAACTACCGCCCAATCAGTCTAACATCAAAAGTAGGCAAATTACTGGAAGCAATCATTTCAAACTATTCGAAATCACCTGGAGAAGCACCGATTGACCAATGATTCTCAGCATGGCTTCACAAGCGGACGTTCATGTCTAACTAATCTATTAACATTCTTTTCATCAGTTCTCGAATCGGTGGACGAGGGGCACAATTATGATGTGGTATATCTCGACTTGAGCAAAGCCTTCGACTGAGTCCCCCATGAAAGACTAATTAGAAAGGTAGAAGCACATGGCATCAAAGGTAATATCCTTAAATGGATTAGGGCGTGGTTACAGGACAGGAAACAGCGAGTGAGTATTACTGGCACTAAGCCCCATTGGAGCAACGTCACAAGTGGAGTTCTCCATGGCTCAGTACTTGGACCATTATTATTTATTATATACATAAACGACATAGATATCAGCATAGACAGCAACATAAGCAAATTTGCTGATGACACTAAAATAGGACGTGTTATTAAATCTGACGAGGACTCCGCAAAACTACAGGAAGATCTAAACAAATTTTTCGAATGGTCTGAAAAATGTTAGATGAAATTCAACGTGGACAAATGTAAAGTACTCAGTATAGGAGATGTAAACAGGGAAACCAGATACCAGATGAACAACTATGCCATAGAGAAATCCAACTGCGAGAGAGATTTAGGAGTAATGATAAGTAGGAACCTTAAGCCAAGCAAACAATGTGTTTTTGTTCGTAACAAGGCTAATAAAGTACTTGGGTTCATACAAAGGAGTGTTAGTTACAAGACTAGCAAGGTCATCCTAAAACTGTATCTTGCTCTTGTGAGACCACACCTGGATTACGCAGTTCAGTTCTGGTCACCGTATTACAGAATGGATATAGAATCCTTGGAAAGAAATCAGAGGAGAATGACAAGACTAATCCCGGGCATTAGGAACCTTGAGTATAGAGACAGGTTAAAGCATCTTAATTTGCACTCCCTCGAGAGACGTAGAGCGCGGGGCGACCTGATAGAGGTGTTTAAGTGGAAGGCAGGGCTAAACTATCCAACCAGGAGCGAGCTCGTAACAATGGTTTTAAATTAGACAAATTTAGATTTCGGCGTGAAATAGGTAAACACTGGTTTGGAAACAGAGTAGTGGATGAATGGAACAAGTTACCAAGTATCATCATTAACTCGAATACGCTGAATAGCTTCAAACATAGGTTGGATGCTTATATGAGCAATAGGGGTTGGGTGTAAACGGGACTGCCCAGTATGGGCCAATAGGCCCGCTGCAGTTTCCTCCATTCTTATGTTCTTATGTTCTTATTTCCCAAGTTTCCTTTGACAGTAATTTAGTATCATTAACAAGAATAGTTACTGATTTTTTTTCCTTGATAAGACTCCTAGAAAATTCTGAATCTGTTAAATAATGTAATGCACTAAAAATTTTATGATTTACATAAAGAACGGGCCTTTTCTTCCCTCCAAGGAGAGTATCATTAATTCTACCTTTACGTTGGGAGTTA